TACATGGGACTACATCAAACTAAAAGCTTCTGCACAGCAACAGAAACAACTATCAAAATGGAAAGGGAACCCACTATATGGGAGAGCATAACTGCCAATGATACATCAGATAAGGGGTTAATTTCCAAAATATATAGAGTACTCATACAACTCAACAAAAGAAAGACAAAGAACCCAATTAAAAAATGGGCAGAGGACCTAAACAGACACCTCTCCAAACAGGACATACAAATGGCTAAGAGACATGAAAAAATGCTCAATGTCACTAATCATCAGAGAGATGCAAATTAAAACAACTATGAGGTATCACCTCACACCTGCCAGAATGACTGCCATCAACAAATCATCAAACAACAAGTGCTGGCGAGGGTGTGGAGAAAAGGGGACTCTAGTACACTGCTGGTGGGAATGCAGACTGGTACAACCACTATGGAAATCAATATGATGTTTCCTCAAAAAATTAAGAATTGAATTGCCATTTGACCCAGTGATCCCATTTCTAGGAGTATATCCTAAGAAGCCTGAAATACCAATCAGAAAGAATATATGTACCCCTATGTTCATAGCAACACTATTTACCATTTCTAAGATCTGGAAACAGCCCAAGTGTCCATCAATAGATGAGTGGATAAAAAGCTATGGTACATATACACAATGGAACACTATGCAGCTCTAAGAAAGAGAGATCTCTTATCCTTTGAGATGACATGAAGGGACCTAGAGAATATTATGCCAAGTGAAATAAGTCAATTAGAGAAAGACAAATACCACATAATCTCACTTATTTGTGGAATATAATTAACAAAATAAGCTGATGAACAAAATAGACCCAGAGACATAGAAAGGAGTACGGTTCAGACTGACAAACCAGAGGAGGGGTCTGTGGGGAGAGGGATGATATAAAGAGAAGAACATATATGCAGGGATGTGTAACCAATGGACATAGACATCAATGCTTGGTGCAGAGATAAGGAGGAGGGTGTCGGGGGGGGGGGGCACAGAACATCTGTAAAAAAATTAATTAATTAAAACTAAAAAGAACTAGATTTATTTACCTCTCTATGCCTAGACTGGAAGTTAGAATGAACTTGAGACTGGCCTTCTCTGGAAATTTGTTGAACTATACTGGAATATTCTATAATGGTTAACTTTATGTGTCTGTTGGACTAAACTATGGTGTCCACTTTTTTGGTCAAACATCAGTCTACAAGTTGCTATAAAAATATTTTTTAATATAAATAATATTAAAATCATTAAACATTGAGTAAAATAGATAACCCTCGGTAATGTAAGACTTCATCCAATCAGCTGGAAGTCTTAAAAGAAAACAAAGACTGAGGTTCCCGAGGAAGATGGAATTCTGCCTTCAGATTGCAACATAAAAACTCTGCCTAAGATTCCAGACTTTGGAATCAAGAGTGTAAGATCAACTTTTGCCTGGATTTCCAGCCTGCTGTCCTGCTCTTCAAATTTCAAATTTGTGCCACACAATTACATTAACTGGTTCCTCAAAATAAACTGAGAGAGAGAGAGAGAGCGAGAGAGGAAAGGAGGAGGAGGAGGAGGAAGAGGAGGAGGAGGAGGAGGAGGAGGAGGAGGAGGAGGAGGAGGAGGAGGAGGAGGAGAAGAAGAAGAAGAAGAAGAAGAAGAAGAAGAAGAAGAAGAAGAAGAAGAAGAAGAAGAAGAAGATCCAGAACTAAGCCCTAAGAATTCCAGTATTAAGAATTCAAGGAGATAAAGAAAATCAATCACAGGGATCTCAAGAGCAGCCACGAGGATTATAGAAACAAAAAGAGAGTAGGATGAGCAAAGATATTCAGGAAGAAAGGATGGATAAATGTATCAAAATACTGCTATATATTGACTAAGATAAGGACAGATTTTGACTACAAATTTAAATGTGTGGAGATCGTTATAATCTTAACAAGTATAGTTTAGATGAGATGGTGTGAGCAAATGCAAAAATGGAGTGCGGTCAAGAGAAAAATTAGGGGATTCGAACCTGCCAGTGGACAAACCACTCTAGGTACTTTCCTCTCTGCTAGAGAAGAAAAATGAAGTAATAGATGTAGGTGAATGTAGATGCAGGGGATTATTTTTCACATTTATTTTTGTTTTAGTATATTTTTACATTGAAAAAAAAGTGATATAAAAAATGGGAATGATTTTAATAAAGAACAAAATGTTAAAAATACCAAGGATATTGAGAAGAGTTGGCTGGAGAAATGTCCTAAACTTGATGAGAGCAAAGCTGGTCAAAGCATAAAACACCCTAGAAAAGAATAGTTCAGCAATTTCCAAGAAAAAAGTCACTGTCAAAGATTCAATTCATTGCCCTGGCCGGTTTGGCTCAGCGGTTAGAGCGTCCGCCTGCGGTCCGGAGAGACCCGGGTTCGGTTCCCGCTAAGGGCATGTACCTCGGTTACAGTTTGTCCCCGGCCCTGGTTGGTCATGCGGGTGGCAGCCACTCGATGTGTCCCTTCACATCGATGTTTCTCTCTCTCTCTCCCTTCCTCTCCCTCCCTCCCACTCTATCTGTACAAAAAAATGGAAAAAATATCCTCGGGTGAGGATTAAAAAAAATAAAAATAAAAAAATAAAAATCATTGGGGAAAAAATGTCCTTGGGTGAGGATTAACAAAAAAAACCTTACTGGACTTCTGGTCAAGATGGCGGCGTAGGTAAACGCGGTATTGTGTGCTCCCACAACCACATCAAAGTTACAACTAAACTACAGAACAACCATCATTCAAAACCGCCTGAAATCAAGCTGAATGGAAGTCCTACAACTACGGAATAAAAGCAGCAGCCACATCGAGACTGGTAGGAGGGGCGGAGGCTCGAGGGTCGGAGGCGCAAGGGGCGGAGGCACGACGGGCTGGTCCCACACCCAAGTGTGGTGAATAAAAATCAGTAGGATACCTCAGCTGGGAAGGTCCTTCCTGAGGACTGAGGGGTCCCCGTCCCACACCAGGTGCCACACTTAGGGTTCCAGTGCCAGGAAGAGAAGTCCCCATAAGTTCTGGCTGGAAAAACCAGCAGGAACTGAGGCTCAGGGAAGCTGAAGCAGCTGGAACCCCAGGCAGCTCTTTAAAGGGCCCGCGCATGAACTTATCAAACTCTATCCCTCTAATCTTGGAGGGGAGGCAGCTCGAGGGGCACCAGAGACATATGGAGAAGAACTGAGCTGTTTGGCACTGGAGCAAGGGCTGGAGAGGGGGCTTTCTCCGGGACAAACGTGCTGTCAGAGGCCTTTGTTCCTTTGGTTAGCCCTGCCCTTGGGCGGCAGACAGTTGCCATATCTGGGACTCCAGCAACCTGGCTCATACAGGTAGCCCCGCCCTGGTGATTCCCTGAGGCCCCGCCCCACTCAACTTTCAGGCCCACCCAAGCTGTTGCCACTTGCTTAACCGTAAGATTGGCCTATCTTGGATCCTGCTTCAGGTTTTTCCTAAATTCTTTCAAACGAGCAGCATCTGGTCTCATCTAGCCCCATACTGCTCGTTAAGTAATACACAGAAACAACACAGGGAGGCAGCCAGAATGAGGAGACAAAGAAACAGGTCCCACATGAAAGAACAGAACAAAACCTTAAGAAAAGAACTAAGCGAAATGGAGATAAGCAACTTAACAGATGCTGAGTTCAAAATAATGCTTACAAGGATGCTCAATGAACTCAGTGAGAACCTCAGTGAACTTAGTGAGGGCCTCAAGAGCATAAAAAAGGACCAGTCAGAAATGATGGATGCACATTCAGAAATGAAGGAGGCATTAACTGAAATAAAGAATAATTTACACAGCTTCAATAATAGAGTACGTAAATCCAAGAAGCAAACCATTGATTTGGAATATAAGGAAGCAAAAAACGCCCAATCAGAACAGCAAAAAAAAAAAGAATCCAAAAAAATGAGGATAGTGTAAGGAGCCTCTGGGACAACTTCAAGTGTGCCAACATTCGCATCTTGGGGGTGCCCGAAGGAGAAGATGAGAACAAGAAATCAAAAACCTCTTTGAAACAATAATGACAGAAAACTTTCCTAACTTGGTGAAGGAAACAGACATACAAGTCCAGGAAGCACAGAGAGTCCCAAACAAGATGAACCCCAAGAGGCCCACATCAAGACACATTATCCTCAAAATGCCAAAGGTTCAAGACAAAGAGAGAATCTTAAAAGCAGCCAGGGAAATGCAGCTAGTTACCTACAAGGGAGTTCCCATAAGACTGTCAGCTGATTTCTCAAAAGAAACTTTGTAGGCCAGAAGGGAGTGGCAAAAAACATTCAGAGTGATGAAAAACAAGAACCTACAACCAAGATTGCTCTATCCTGCAAAGCTGTCATTTAGAATCGATGGCCATATAAAGAGTTTTCCAGACAAGAAAAAGTTAAAGAAGTTCATCACCATCAAACTGTTATTATATGAAATGATGAAGGGTCTTTTTGAAGAAAAAGATAAAATATATGAACAAACAAAATGGCAATGAATACATATCTATCAACAATGGAATCTACAAACAAAATGAACACGTAGAACAGAAACATTCTCATAGATACAGAGAACATTTTGTTGGTTGCCAAATGGGAGGGGGGTTGGGGGAATGAGTGAAAAAGGTGAAGGGATTAAGAAGTACAAATTCATTGCTAGACTGACAAACCTCAAAGGGAAAGGGGTTGGTGGGGTGGGAAGAAATAAACCAAAGAACTTATATGCATATATGCATAACCAATGGTCACAGACAACAGTGTGGGAAAAGGCAGGAGGGGGGCGGGAGTGGGGAGGAGGGGGTCAATGGGGGAAAAATGAGGAACATCTGTAATACATTCTACATTCAACAATGAAAATAATAAAAATTAAAAAACCTTACTAATACAATTGTACTAAAAACAACTTGTGGAGTCATTTGATAAGTATCTCACTTATTGCCATATACTAGTTTAAAGATCACTCCATACATGGACATAATTACTACACAAAAGAATGTCACCTTCCAACATGGAAAGTTATGTCTGCTTTGTAAACAACAGATGAACAACCTGGTTCCGGATCTGTTTAGTCTTGATCCCATAAATGATGGGATTCAGCATAGGAGGAGCCAGAATGCAGACATCGGCTAGCAAGACATGGATATGGGGTGAGATGTTTTGTCCAAACCTCTGAGTAAGGGTTGTAAAGATCCCAGGCCCATAGAAGAGAATGGTGACACAGACATGGGAGCCACAAGTATTGAGAGCTTTGTGGTAAGCATATTGGGATGAAATGTGGAAGACAGCTCGGAGAATCAACACATATGAATAAAAGATTAGTACAATATCTAAGACCACTGTTGACATTAGGACAAAAAACCCATACCAGATGTTTACTCGTATGTCATCACAGGAAACATGGGCCAAGACAATGTGCTTACAAGCTGTGTTTTGGAGGATGTTACTTTTGCAGAAAGTCAGTCTCTTCAGAAAAAATATTATGGGAAACATTATACCATAACTTCTCAGGATGATAGTCACACCAATTTTGCCAATCAGTGCATGTGTAACAATGGTGGTGTATCTCAGTGGGTAGCATATGGCAATGTAGCGGTCAAATGCCATCACTAGCAAGATCCCTGACTCAGAGATGAAGGTGGAATGGATGAAGAAGAGCTGAGTGATGCAGCGATCCAGGGAGATCTTCCCAGCATGGAACCAGAAGATGGCCAAAGCCTGAGGTACTGTGCACGTGGAAATGAAAACATCTGCTATGGCCAGCATGCAGAGGAGCAGGTACATGGGTTCATGGAGGCTGCGCTTTGTGAGAATAATAAAGATGAGAAGGCTGTTCCCAAGCAGGGCTATGACATAGGAAATGAAGAAGGGTATGGAAATCCACATGTGCTGGTCCTCAAGGCCAGGGATGCCCAGCAAATGGAAGACTGTGTGGCTAACACCAGTGTGATTTGAGGTAGTCATGTCTGAATCAGATGACCTGGCACCTCACTTCCTATTCACAGACAGAGGAAAATTCAGATTTTACTCAAAGATTTTCTTAACAAAAAAGGACTATTCACATCTACCTGATTCTATTTCACTCTTAGGATGCCAGGGACTGTGATATTAAAGGTGAATAAAATGTGGCTTGTTTTCTGAATGAGTCTTAAGCTCAATAAGATAGACATTTATATAACTAATGATTAAGTCAACATATTAGTTATACTAAAATACTTAATATTAAAACACAATAGAGGGGGTAATTCTTATTCCTCATATTTGTAATGATTTTAAAATGACTTTGGGGAGCAGCAGGGGAACAACTGTAATACTTTCAACATAAAGATTTTTTTTAATGGCTTCAGATCTGAACTTAGCCTTGAAAATAGAGCAGGATATCATCAGGTTGAGAAAATACCAAGTAATAAATGGAGTGAAGTCGTTTGGAAATCTCAGAAGAAAGTTTGACACATAAATGCAAAATATGTTCAAGGCAGCTTTCAGCTCTGTGGGATTCTGACCTTGAAATGTGCAGTAATTGGGGAGGAAATACCACAACAAAAGTAGATTGGCTCTGAATATAAATTAAATAATTTAGACAGTATCATGTTAGCAAAAATGGTCAGCCATAAATAGTTCTGAAATTGGAAAGCATTTTGAATATACTTATCTGGCAGCTACACGAAAGATAGAAAGGATGGAAAAAGAGCAAAGACTGAAATTTTATAAAATAGTGAAGTTTCAACTGAGGTAAATTGATGTATTGGTGAATCACTGTCACGGTGAAATAAGATCAGGAAAGTATCCTTTTTAAAATTTTTTATTTATTAATTTGTTTTTGTTACAGATGTTTCTCATTTTTTCCTCATTGACACCCTCCTCCCCTTCCCCTCTCCACCCCATCCCCAGCTTTGTTGTCCATGTTCATTGGTCATGCATACATGCATGTAAGTTCTGTGGTTTATCTCTTCCCCCACAAACCCCCCTCCTCTGAGGCTTGTCAGTCTGTACCCCACTTCTATGTCTCTGGGTTAATTTTGTTCAGCAGTTTGTTTAATTCATTATATTCCACAAATAAGTGAGATCACGTGAAATTTTAAGCACAACGATAACATATTTTGTGGTAGTTTTTCTGCTGTTCCCTCTGTGGTAGCATATAGTTGCCGGCTGAGGGGACATCCTTTCCTAGGTCAGGAGGGCATCTCAGTTTCATTAGTTTAGAAAGGTTTCTTTTACTTGACCCATTTCAACGAAGAGGAAATTATGCCTAGTAAATTTAGAAAAGCTTCAAATTCCAGCTCTGTTCTTTGAGTTGTGACAATATTCTTGAGCCTGAAATTCCTCTATTGAAAAGGTGATGATGGGAATCCCTACTGCCTGCGTTGGCAGCAGAAATTAATGGTGTGTCACAGTGACATGTTCATATCAGTGCCTCAAATTGAGAAGTTACTTTAAAAAGAATACATTAATTTCTGCTGCCAACGCAGGCAGTAGGGATTCCCATCATCACCTTTTCAATAGAGGAATTTCAGGCTCAAGAATATTGTCACAACTCAAAGAACAGAGCTGGAATTTGAAGCTTTTCTAAATTTACTAGGCATAATTTCCTCTTCGTTGAAATGGGTCAAGTAAAAGAAACCTTTCTAAGCTAATGAAACTGAGATGCCCTCCTGACCTAGGAAAGGATGTCCCCTCAGCCGGCAACTATATGCTACCACAGAGGGAACAGCAGAAAAACTACCACAAAATATTTTATCGTTGTGCTTAAAATTTCACCCGCTCTTGATATTGTCTCCCTTAGTACTGTCTCTAAAATGGGAGGGGAAGGCATAAATTTTTGGTAAGGATATAAAGCACTGTACATCCTGTACCCAAGCCAGGAGCAGACTGACAAGTTGAGAAATGGCTCTGTTGTCCAGTGTCATACAGAATGAAAAACCAGGTGCTAACATGAATAGAAGGCAAGCCAGCCAAACTGTAACTGGGGAAGAAGGCAGAAAAACAAGTTAAACTGTTTCAGATTATATAAGAAATGTAGGTGGTGTAGTAGACAGAAGCAAGCACAGTTGCTTGTAAAAACAATCATTTTAGCCCAGTCTGCGTGGCTAAGTTGGTTGGAGCATCGTCCCTGCACCAAAAAGTTGTGGGTTTGGTTCCCAGTCAGGGCACATACCTAGGTTGCTGGTTCAGTCCCAGGTAGGGGCACATTCAGGAGGCAGCCAATCAAAGTTTCTTGATGTTTCTCTCTCACATCAATGTCTCTCCCTCTCCCTCTCTTTCTCTTTCTATCTACCTATTTGTCTATCTCCCTTTCTCTCTCTCTCTAAAAAAAAATAAAGAAGAAGAACACTGGCCAGTGTGGCTCACTGGTAGAGCGTCGAGCCATGCCCCAAGAAGTCATTGGTTCAATTCCCAGTCAGGGCACATGACCAGGTTGTAGGTCCGATCCCCAGCAAGGCATACAGAAGATGGCCAATCAATGTTCTCGCTCGTCGGTGTTTCTATCTCTCTCCCACTCCCTTCCTCTCTCTATTTAAAAAAAGAAGAAGAAGAATTTCACTCTTAGGGCAAACCTCTAGATCCTAAACTCTGCACACCTTCTCCAGGTAATTGTTTAACTTGGAATAGATTTGCAGGATTTGAGTTTAGTGCAGGAGACAGTGAGAAGTTCAGATATTCAAGGGATGATGAAGCAGAGGTAAGCTATGGTTAGCATCTTTGCATTAGTCAGTGACTGGCTTAGACCTACCACACAGTAAATTATATCATCATCTGTTCCCTTGCCCTCCAGATTTTATTCTCCTCACCTCTAAATTTAATTTCTAGAACAGGAAAATTTTCCCCTACTTTTATTGCTATATTACCCCTAAGAAATAACTAAAACTGTAATGCAAATAAAATCACTTGAACAGAGCCCAGTGGAGGCTTGTGAGATGTGCCTGCTGTGGTCAGCAAATACAACCAGGTCTGTCTGTGGTCACACAACCACTATGAGCATATAAATTGCCCTGTGGAAAGCCATCCTCCCGGAGGAGATGGAAAAAATCAAAATAGATATGGCAATACCACTGGGGACAATGAACAAGTGTGGTGCTATAATGACAAAGTAATGGCAGGAAAAGGTGATGATAAAGCAAATAAGTCTTACATAACTAAAGAGAAAAGCTGACCAGGACTTCTTTACACATGTTGATAAACCTGGGATTCTTTGGGAGCAGCATAGGGGATTTTTCTTTAAGATAGAAGAGAATACAGGCTAAGGAGTTCTCCAGTTAGGGGCTGGCCTTAGGGTGAAGTTTTATGAACTAGAGTGGCTCCTTTTATAATTCAAGGTCACCTTTAAAAATCTTCTCAAATGCTTCATGAACGTTTCTACAGCCTTGATCCAGGCACCTTCAGTCCCCTAGACAAGATTGCATTTAGCTCTCTGATTTGTTCCATGGAGCTGACCACCCCAACTCAGGGCACCCTCACAGTCCACCCACTGTGTCAGGAATGGGCCTGCATGACACCTTTCCACAGGTCACGCCTATCCCTCTAATCATTGGAGTCTAATCATTGGAGCACCTGTCTCGGGGATAGTAGCACATTGTCAGTGTTTCCCAATTGACTATAAACTTTCTGAGGTTGGAGAATTATCTTGTTTAAAAAATAGATGTGGCCCTGGCCGGTTTGGCTCAGCAGTTAGAGCGTCGGCCTGCGGTCCTGAGAGACCCGGGTTCGGTTCCCGCTAAGAGCACGTACCTCGGTTGCAGTTTGTCCCCGGCCCTGGTCGGTCGTGCGGGTGGCAGCCACTCGATGTGTTCCTTTCACATCGATGTTTCTCTCTCTCTCTGTTCCTCTCTCTCCCTCCCACTCTACCTGAACAAAAAATGAAAAAAAATAAAAAATAAAAAAAATAAAAAATAGATGTGCCCTTAATCTAGCACACTGATGCACAATGTAATAATTCCTCAGTAATGAGATACTGGATGGGAGATATGAGTGTCAGGACAGAAGCCACAGGTGAGTCCTTTCTAGTACCTAAATGTTGACAATCAGAATCGGGTTCTAATGTGGAACTTTATCTGGAGGGGTCCAGGCTCCTTGGCGTAGAGAGCTAAAATGTGGACTCAGGCCCAAAGTCTCCCCACTCTGCCCTCCCAGACAGCACTTCCCTTTCTACTTAGACGTCTATATTGGTGAGTCTGGTCCAGTGATGTGCTGATGAAACAGCTGTTGGTGGGGAGAGGGGAGCCCCTTTTTGTAGTGTTTGTTAGGTTAAATACATCTGTGTTACTCAGTTTCAAACTACCTACTTGATGTCCCTATATGTAGATTTGCAAAGAAACGTATACAATTGACTCTTACAAACACTGCTGCTGCCATTGCTCTTATTCTACCCAATAACTCCAGACAAAGGTCTTAATATTTTCAACCATCTGCCTCATGCCTCATAATTTCTAATTTTCCTCTTGAATTTTTATTTCACATCAATAAGATAAGCACTCACCTGCTTCATAGGCAGTACTAATGGACTGGAAGGGGATGAGTCACAGGAGGACTCTAAGAGACGAGCATCAGACAGCAGAGATTTTTATGCATTTGCCTAAAGACTACAGAGTGAGCTAATACACAAGGGATCTCAGACTTATTGCACATGGCTCAAGTCATTATGGTTTTGCAATCATGTCTTCACACCACCTGGTCCCCCAAACTCCATCTATATATTATAGGAGCACATGTATTGTTTTCAATAAATCCAATGTTAGCATTGCTATGGAAAGTATTTCTGATTCCAATTAATGGAAATTTTAAAATGTTAATCCATTATTAATCAACACATAACTTGAAAGTCAACATACAAATTATATTTTATAAATTTATTTTTTTAACACTTTTATATTTATAGAAAAATTACATAGTATACAGATGCCATGCTAACATGTTACATTAGTATGATATATATGTTACAATTAATGAACTAATATTAGTGCATTACTATTAACTAACATCTATACTGTATTTAGACTTTGTAGTTTTTACCCGATGTCCTTTTTCTGTTTCAGGATTACACTTAGTAGTCATTTCTCTTAAGGCTGCTCTCAGCTGTGACAGTTTCCCAGACTTTCATTGCTTTGTGGGGATTTTTTAAAGATTATTTTATTTATTTTTTTAAAGAGAGAGAAAGGGGTTGTTGTACAAGAGCCTTCAGGGTATTACGAGGCATGTGCCTGCAGGATGAGGCTACTGCAGCACTAGGGTGTCAGTTGGTCCCACCCAGAACACTTCAGTTCTGCTCTGCAAGGATATATAATAACTGATTGGTGTGTCCATATAATTCAAGAAAATGGAAACTGAACAACTAGAGGAAACCTTGCCAACACCGAAACCAATGGTGAATTTGGTAAACGCCCTGCAGAAGATATGGAAGACAAACAAGCTTTTAAAAGATCTAGGAATACTGATGAGATGGTTGAACTACACAGACGTGGAAGTGGGGTACAGACTGACAATCCCCTGAAGAGGGTGTGGGGGGGAGAGATAAACCACAGAACTTACATGCATGTATGTATGAACAATGGACATGAACAACAAAGGTGGGGACTGGGTGGGGAGGGAGGGGGAGGGGGGAATCAGTGGGAGGAAAAGGAGAAACATCTGTAACAAAAATAAATTCATTAATTATAAAATTAATTAATAAAAATATAAATAAATGTAAAACAAACAAAAATAATTTTAAGTGGTTTGTCCTTAAATAAGGTTGGTTTTTTAAATATTAGTATGAGGAAAACAACCAAGAGGACTAGGAAAGTTGTAGAAAGTTGCTCAGGCAAACATGGCACACCTCTCTCTCTCTCATTTACAGTTGAATATGCATACCCGGTAACATTCTTGGTGAACTTGCTCCAGAAACACAATTCTGAGCTATTCCCTAGTGTTTCAGTTTACCACTAACCTTTCCACGCATCATTTCCATAGACCACATCATGAATAGCTACAGATGCTGAAAACTCTGACCCACTTCCAAAGTTATTTCTGCTTTGGAAACATGTGAACCACCTGCTCTCGAATTTGCTGGGTCTTGATCCCATAAATGATGGGATTCGACATAGGTGGAACCAGAATGCAGACATTAGCCAGCAAGATGTGGATATGAGGAGGAATGTGGCGTCCAAACCGCTGAGTAAGAGTTGTGAAGATGGCAGGCCCATAAAAGAGGATGATGATGCAGATATGGGAGCCACATGTGTTCAGAGCTTTCTGGCGTGCATCTTGGGAAGGCATTTGGAAGACAACATGGAGAATCAGCACATAGGAAACAAAAATTAACAGGACATCTAAAACCACAGTCGACATTATTACAAAAAGTCCATACCAAATGTTCACTTGAATATCATTACAAGCATATTTGGCCAAGCCAATGTGTTCACAAAAGGTATGAGGAATAATATTATTTTGGCAGAAAGTCAACCTTTTCAAAAGAAATATTATGGGGAAAATTGTACAATAACTTCTCAGAAAGATAATAACACCAATTTTCCCAATCAGTGTATATGTAAGAATAGTGGTGTACCTCAGTGGGTAGCATATGGCAATGTAGCGGTCAAATGCCATCACCAGCAAGATTCCTGACTCAGAGATAAAAGTACAATGGATGATGAAGAACTGAGTGATGCAGCGATTTAGGGAGATCTTCCCAGCATGAAACCAGAAGATGGCCAAGGCCTGAGGTACTGTGCACGTGGAGAGGACAATGTCTGTTCCAGCCAGCATGCAGAGGAAGAGGTACATGGGTTCATGGAGGCTGCTCTTTGTGAGGATAATAATGATAAGCAGGCTGTTTCCAAGCATGGCGATGATATACGACATGAAGAAGGGGATGGAAATCCACATGTGCTGGTTCTCTAGGCCAGGGATGCCCAGCAAGTAGAACACCGCATGGCTAACACCAGTGTAGTTTAAGGTAGCCACATGTGGGAAGACTACCAGAGACATCACTTCTTATTCACAAACACAGAGAGAAACAGTATTTCCTATAGTATTTTATGAAGGCACCAAGCTTTTGACATGCTCTACATTTTCATCTTCCTTGAACATGCAAGTAATAAGAAACGTAAAAGGTCAGTAGAATATAGTTTCTGGCCCAATGAGTGATAGTCTAATTACAAGGTATACATGTTCCCCACTAATCAAATAAAACATTTTGTTGTATTTATTTCTCCTTCAGAGGATCACGAAAACACAAAGGAAATTATTCTATGTATCTGGAAAGGGTGAAACAAGTGTTTCTTGAATGTAAAGAACTTTAACTTGACTTTGTGGTGGGTACTTTATCATAAGATAAGAATGAAAAGAAAGGGAAGCAACAAAAGAAAATGTGGCTATTCAAATCAAAGTATAACGTGTTCATGAAACAGTGTTTGTTCAGCTCCAGGTAGCTCTGCAGGTAAGAAAGCAGCGTAGATGGTTTTTCAGGCAAATTTGGTCTAATTGATGGAAATGAGATTTGAAGTCTCTCTGACTTCACCAAATACAATTTGCTCCCTTGTGAAGAGAGTCAAAGGAACTTTAAGAAGTAGCATTGACAGAGCGGTGTGCCTGAGGTGAGATAATTATGCTCAAACCTTAGGAACTAAATTTACAGATGACTGAAATTGGAAAGTAAGGCATTATTGCTGCAAGGAGAACTGCATGATATTGGGAAGCTTTTTCTTCAGATGGAAATTTTATCATTTAGTTCTTAGTGTGCATTCATTCATCATTCACTCTGTCATTTAGGAAGCAGTAACTATTTTCAGGCATCATTATAAACTGAGAATATAGGGGAAAATGGGAATTTTACAGTCCTATGAACTCATGGTTTGAGATAAAACCAAATTCATAAGCAGATAGGTTGAAGAGTTGAAGACAAATGTTAATCCCCCCTAATGAAATAGGGTTTTAAAATACCTAGTTCAAAATAAGCTGTCGATCAAAATAGATCCAGAGACATGGAAGTAGAGAACAAACTGACAAACCTCAGAGGGAAGAGGGGTGATGAGGTTTGGAAGAAATAAACCAAAGAACTTATATGCATATATGCACAACCAATGGACACAGAATATAGTTTGGGGAAAGCAGGAGAAAGGTGGGAACAGGGAGGAAGGGGCCAATGGGGGCAAAAGGGAGGACATCTGTAATACTTTCAACAGTAAAGATAAAAATAAAATACCTAGTTCCGTAGCTAAGTTATATCTCATGTTCACTAACATTATTTCTTCCACTCCAGTTACCCACTTGGTGCCCACAATTGTCCTTTCTGGGGAGGAAAGTCAGCTCCAGCTCACCATTCTTCAAGTGCTGGAGGAACATGTTAGCTACAGAGTCACCTATCAAAAGGGTCTAGTCAGCTGGGCTAGGTTAGGGCACTGTCTCCTGTAGAGCATATGGCTGCTTTCTGAAAAATTTCTCTCCAGTGACGGCAGCTGACTTCCTGCATGAAAAAAAAAGTGGATGGCACCAAAGGGGTGTGAGAGCGGGTGTGTGTCCCCACAGACCTGATTGGGAAAATACAGGAGAAAAATGATAAGAAAGAAGAGGCAAATGCGGAGCTGGGAAGGAGGAAAGATAGGGAAGCTGGAGAAGGCCTTGTGTTTGCAGAAAGGAGCGGCAGAGGAAATGGTATTCACTGGAGCCAAAGAGACAAGCCAGGAAGCTCAGAGGTTGAGGATTTACCTGTTTGATTGGTCTTCTGGCAAAGCTAGACTTTGGTCTGACACAAGTTTATCTAAATGCTCCACTCAATGCTCTTCCCTTATTATTCTCTTCTCACATCTGCCCAAGGGGTCATGGTCCACTTCCCAAGCCCTGCTTTGAGAAGCCTAACACAGGTCCTGGTCATTCTCAGGGCTCCTCTCATATTTGCCAAGAGGGGTCTGCAGTCTAAGTCAATATCTTTTTTCTGTTTTCTCATGTCGTCTCATTATTAGGACACTTGTTGGATTACTTCTCTTTCTTTGCCAAAGTTCATTAACCTCAGCTACCAATATATCCTCAACCTCCCTTCCCACACCTTACCCTCCACTTCTGCTGTAACCAACCAAGACACAGATGCCTCTTGTCTTTATCATTCAGCATCCATACATATCAGTAACCTCTAAAGAGTCCTGTGGCTTCTGGCCTGTCTTGGATAGAACACCAGCTCAGTCTTTACCCTGATCCTGGAACCACCCCACCCAGAAACGTCTATTTTACTTACTACCTTTTACTGGGTCTTCAGGGACAGCTATGAGATTGGAGATGAAATTCAGATTGTTGGGGCTGGCAGTTGGGCTATTTATTCTCTTCAGGAAAGCCCTTGAAGGGAGCACTGACATCAAGGTCCCAGGGGCAAAGCTGTCTCCACCAGCCTCACCCTGTTCCCAAATGGCTTTATTCCCAGGTCTATTTCCCCCTCCCTAAAACTGCTCCTCACTATTTTTAGCTCCTGCTCCTCCTCACATGCTCTGAAATGCATCCCACACCAAGTGTTCAGTTTATGATATCTTACTACAAGAAAACCTCTCCCATCTAAACCAGCTTTGCTGCAAGCCTGTTTCAATACCTACGTTGACCTTCAACATTGAATTAAATTAATGTTAAAGTTATTTCCGATCTGTAATATCAATGTATTCCATTAAGATGTAAAGGTAATTTTCAAATTTTTATTCTTCATGTAAAGAATGATGTTGCAGTTATATTCATCCCTGAGTGGTCATAAGATTCATATTCATAAATAATGAGGTTTAATTATTTCCTAAGGGTACGTAAATGTGTACAATGTGGAGAAGACATATGATTGTTAACAACTGTGACATATTTTATTTTATTTGCCTGCCTAGTGTATCATGCTGTTTAGTGCTTGGTTACTGGGGAAAAAATTCTCATTTTCTTTACATTTTTTATAAGTATTTAATCTAGATTTTATTCATCCTTAATGTATTGTGTGAAACTTTTTCAACTTGGCAATAACTATATTCTGATTATGAAAATAGTTTTCTACCTTATTTTTTAATTGAATGATAAAGCCCTGGCTAGTTTTGCTCAGCGGTTAGAGCGTCGACCTGCGGTCCAGAGAGACCTGGGGGGTTTGGTTTCCGCCAAGGGCCCGTGCCTCAGTTGCAGTTTGTCCACGGCCCTGGTAGGTTGTGCAGATAGCAGCCACTCAATGTGTCCCTTTCACTTTGATATCTCTCTCTCTCTCTCTCTCTCTCTCTCTCTCTCTCTCTCTCCCCCCCCTCCATCCCTCCTGCCCTCCCTCCCATTCTATCTGAACAAAAAATGGAAAAATGTCCTCAAGTGAGAATTAAAAAAATAAAAATAAAATAAATAATAAAGACGGGAAGAACAAAATAATTCCACCTTTAGGGGGAAAAAATGTTGTTTTAATATAAATACATACAGGAATATTATCTCAGCTAGTCTTCTACACTTTAAGCTCTTATAAAAATCTTATCACATTTTTATTAGTTACATAATTATATAAAATTAATGCATCTTATTATTCATACACGTCTTTGTGGATAGAATCAGCACATTTGTTCATCTCATACTCAGTGCTTAAGGAGTCCCTTGAGCATCTGTTAGACAGAAGCATGTACAGATTTCAGAAGTAATCAGATTCTGTGAAAAGCCTATTGTTGTGACAGTCTCAAGATATAATCCTGAATTTTATATTTCCTACAAATTCTAAAATCAATTTATAATATTTCCAAAATGACCAATAAATGCTCAAAAATGCATCGCACTTCCTTGTAAAGTTAAGCCCACCTCTATCTTCTTAGTGTCAATAGATATTAATCAACAGCCATAAATGTTATGTGGCCACTGGACTTTTGTTAAAAATGATTAAATCCCGGTTTTTGAGATGTGTCTCCTCACATTGGTTCACATTGTGATAACTATGAATTTCAACTTCTTACTAGATGAATTTGACAATTGTTACTGTTGCTTTGCTTCAAACTGGGGCCACTGCAAGTGTTTCAACAGAGGAAATAATTAAACTATATAACGGCGATTTTCAACCAGTGTGGCACACTGGTGTGCTACAAGAATTTTTAAAACATTCAATACCAGCCCTGGCCGGTTTGGCTCAGCGGTTAGAACATTAGGCCCTGGACCGAAGGGACTTTGATTCCAATCAAGGGCACTTACCTGGGTTACAGGTTCAGTTCAATCCCTGGCCCTGGTCAGGGTTGTGCCAGAGAAAACCAATCAATGTGTCTCTCTCACATAGGTGTTTCTCTCTCTCTTTCTCTCTTCCCCTACCCCCTCCTGCCTTCTTCCCACTGTCTCTAAAAATTAATGGGAAAAAAAAAAAAAAACATGCAATACCTATTAGTCTGGAGCACTGACTTCTTTTTCCTTAGATTGTCAAATTAAAAAATGACAACGGCCAATAATACAATAGCTATCTGCTGTGAATGAATCAAAATTATTCCTTTTTTTTTTTTTTTTGGTCAGATCAGCAAAAAAATATATTTTTTAATGTGACACAGAATTTTAGTAATTAGTTTATATGTGCCATAAGATGAAAAAGGTTAAAAATCACTGCTCTATAACGTGACATTAGATCAAATTGCCCTATCAGAGTATCTCAATTGAAAATAGAAGCACTGGCGAGGGTGTGGAGAAAAGGGGACTCTACTACACTGCTGGTGGGAATGCAGACTGGTGCAGCCACTATGGAAAACAATATGGCATTTCCTCAACAAATTAAAAATTAATTTGCCATTTGATCCAATGATCCCACTTCTAGGAATATATCCTAAGAAGCCTGAAACACCAAAGAGAAAGAATATATGTACCCCTGTTAATAGCAGCACTATTTACAATTGCTAAGATCTGGAAACAAGTGTCCATCAATAAATGAGTGGATTAAAAAAGCTTTGGTACATATACACACTGGAATACTATGCAGCTGTAAGAAAGAGAGATCTCTTGCCCTGGCCAGTTTTTCTCAGTGGTTAGAGCATCGG